TGTGTTGCCCTGCCTAGGGAGTCTCTCTGTCTAGGGAGTCTCTCCGTCTAGGAAGTCTCTCCGTCTAGGAAGTCTCTCCGTCTAGGAGTCTCTCCGTCTAAGGAGTCTCTCCGTCTAGGAAGTCTCTCCGCTTAAAATGTCTCTCCGTCTAGGGAGTCTCTCCGTCTAGGGAGTCTCTCCATCTAGGGAGTCTCTCCACCTAAGGTGTCTCTCCGTCTAAGGTCTAACCCATCTAGGAAGTCTCTCCGCCTAATATGTCTCTCCGTCTAGGGAGTCTCTCCATCTAGGGAGTCTCTCCACCTAAGGTGTCTCTCCGTCTAAGGTCTAACCCATCTAGGAAGTCTCTCCGCCTAATATGTCTCTCCGTCTAGGGAGTCTCTCCATCTAGGGAGTCTCTCCGCTTAAGGTGTCTCTCTGTCTAAGGTCTAACCCGTCTAGGAAGTCTCTCCGCCTAATATGTCTCTCCGTCTAGGGAGTCTCTCCATCTAGGAAGTCTCTCCGCCTAAGATGTCTCTCCATCTAGGGAGTCTCTCTGTCTAGGAAGTCTCTCTGCCTAAGGTCTCTCTCCGTTTAGGGAGTCTCTCCGTCTAGGAGTCTATCTAGGGAGTCTCTCCGTCTAGGAAGTCTCTCCATCTAGGAAGTCTCTCCATCTAGGGAGTCTCTCCATCTAAGGAGTCTCTCCGTCTAGGAAGTCTCTCTGTCTAGGAGTCTTTCCATCTAAGGAGTCTCTCCATCTAAGGAGTCTCTCCGTCTAGGAAGTCTCTCCGTCTAGAAAGTCTCTCTGTCTAGGAAGTCTCTCCGTCTAGGAGTCTCTCCGTCTAAGGAGTCTCTCCGTCTAGGAAGTCTCTCCGCTTAAAATGTCTCTCCGTCTAGGGAGTCTCTCCGTCTAGGGAGTCTCTCCATCTAGGGAGTCTCTCCGCTTAAGGTGTCTCTCTGTCTAAGGTCTAACCCGTCTAGGAAGTCTCTCCGCCTAATATGTCTCTCCGTCTAGGGAGTCTCTCCATCTAGGAAGTCTCTCCGCCTAAGATGTCTCTCCATCTAGGGAGTCTCTCTGTCTAGGAAGTCTCTCTGCCTAAGGTCTCTCTCCGTTTAGGGAGTCTCTCCGTCTAGGAGTCTATCTAGGGAGTCTCTCCGTCTAGGAAGTCTCTCTACCTAAGGCGTCTCTCTGCCTAGGGTCTAACCTGTCTACCTCGTCAATGTTGGGAACTACGTAACCGGACAGTAACTGTAGGACTCTTTATTGTCCTAAATTAATTTTATTTCTCAGAGAGAGCTGGGCACCCCCAGGAGGGTCTCACACCACGACCCCACCCGCTCCCACCAGCTTCCCAGCCTGCGGGGGCCTTGGGCATGAGCTCCCGGGGTACTCGGGATGGTCCCAGCCCTGCCTCAGCCTCTTGACCTCCAGCACGTGGAGCTGCCCTGCCCTGCGCCCCGCGGCTGGCCTCTGTCCCAGCTAACGTCCCTCTGTGTGCAGCGCCGGCCCGTGGTTACGGCTCATGGGCTCGGCCGCCCTCCCGGAGCAGGGCAGGCCGGCAGCTGAGGCCGCTGATGTGTCCCTCAGAGTCCGGAGGGTGGGAGTCCAGGCCCCGGTGCCAGCAGGGTGGTCCCTCCAGAAGCCTCTTCCTGTGACTTGCAGGTGGCCCTTCCCTCGGTCCGCTGTGTCCCGACCTCTTCCAATAAGGACTCCAGCCCTGGGTTAGGACCAGCAGCGGCCCACTTTCCTCATCTGTAGAAAGACCCTGTCTCCAAATGCCGTGGCCCCCGAGGTCCTTGGGGTGGGGCATCACCCGGTGAATGGGGCACAGCTAAGCCAGCTGCTCTGCCGCCCCGCCTCAGGGCAGGGCTTCGGTTTCCAGGCCACGCAGGCCCTCACCTGCCGGCGGATCACTGCACCACTCCGTTCTCGGCCGGCTTAGGTGCTCGGCCTTGCTATTTCTGTGCCGGTAAAACGGCCACGAGTGTTGGTGAGGAACCAGGAGGGACTGAATGGCTAAAAGCAACCCTGTTCTCCCCATCCTTTTTAAAAACACGTTTATTTCACGAGAAGGACAGAGGCACCCTCGGCAGGGTCTTCCTGCCGTCAATGGCCCCCAGTCCCAGCCACCCTGGTCCACGGGCTCAGGGAGGTCCGAGGACGCCAACCAGGCCCTGTCCCGCTGTGCCCCGCCTGGCCCTGTTCCGTGCCAGCTGTGGCGGGGCACCCGCGAGGGGGGCGCAGTGGTGCTGGGAGCCTGCAGCACCCGGCCGGCCTGCGCTGCACTCCGGTCTCGGGCCGTGGCTCTGTGCTCAGCGCTCTCCGTGTGAGACTGGGTCCTGGGCAGGACCACTGGGGTCCGGCCGGGCTCTGGCATGACCGATGCTGACGTGCGCCAGTGTGGGAGCGGCACATCTGTGGGCCTGGGGTCCGTCGCTGTGCCGGCCGTAAGCCCTTGCTTCCTTCTGCAGAGAGACGGTTTCCATCAGCGTCCGGGCGTCCCTCCTGCAGACGCCGGCTGTCCCTCTTCTGCTGGCTCACCAGTACCTCCGTGCAAGCGTAGAGGTGCAGGTGGCCATCGCGGCGGCCATCCTCACGGGGGTCTATGTGCTGATCATCTTTGAGGTAACTGCCATCCGGTCCCCTCGGCCTGCCGGAGTCCACCGTCGGGGTACGCTGACGTGTCGAGACTGCCGGGCGTGCTCCCACAGTTAGCACGCCCCCTGCCCCCGGGTGGAAAGGGCTTCCCAGGCCTCAGGGTCAGCTGGGCCCAGGGCCTCAGGTGTGCAGGGGCAGACGCCGGCGGCCACTCACCTCGACGCAGGCTCGTTGCTGCTTACCCATGTACTTCCGCAGAGACGGGGGCAGGGACAAGCACCTGCAGGGCTTTCAGCCACGGTTCACCCCGGGTCACGGGTGTGCAGGGACCTCCTCGGGGACTCTCCCCGTGGGCCCAGCTGCATTGCTGCTGTCACTGCCCGGTCCCTAACACGACGTTCGCGTGTGCCAACTCCCGGGTGTGGCGTGTGGTAACTTCCTGTTCCTCCCCAGGTGGTGCACAGGACCCTGGCGGCCATGCTGGGCTCCCTCGCAGCGCTGGCAGCCCTGGCTGTGATTGGCGATGTAAGTCAGGGCGTCCCGGCCACTGGCTCAGCTCTCCATCAGCTGAGCCTCAAAGACCTTGTGGGACGTAGGCCTTGGCAGGGTTTCCATGATTTCTCATGTTACTTCCGTGTCTGCCCCAGAAACATGCTGGACGGTGGGCCGACTGAGACGATGGTGTCTCACAGGGCGCTGTCACACACCGTCCCCGTGGTGCGAGTCCCCACCTCGGCTGAGGAAACCGCCCCGTGGTCACGCATTTGCCTGGGTGTGCGGCTGGGGCTGCCATGGCTAGGCCCAGGCAGTGTCAGCCCTTGGAACTAGAGGGGCTTTTCTGCTGGGGTGGAGTTGGGGGACCCGCGGGGCTGGGCCTCATGGGTGGGGACGGGGGGGGGGGCCGTCCGGGGTCTGG